CTGAGAAATAAAGCCAGAGCAGAAGTTCATACAACTGCAGTTCCTCAAAGTTCCACCAGAGGCTGGCTTCAAAATCTCTGAAAGCTACATACACACTCATTCTAAAATTCCTAACTCACAGAAAAAATAAACACCTTCACAACCTGGTTCAATGTAAGGTTTTGGTCTAAGTAGCTCCTTTCTATATTGGCTATCAAGGTAGGGGGGTGAACTATTGTCACCGAAATTTGTTATATGGCCTGAGATAAGACAATAAAGCCAGTAGAAAACTGGGAAGAGAGAGACAGGCTGTGGCTCAGTTTAAAACTGGGCCTCCTCCACTATGGGCTAAGTCATGGGATATATGACTTTAACAGTGCCCAATGATTTATTACAAAGAGAAATCCTTTAGTGCACTTTTTGAGAGATGGGCAATTCTAAAACTTGAACGAAAAAGTTCCTTCAATGAAAATAGTGTTTTTGTGACACAATGTCACAGTTGTGCTTTTGCTCATTTGAAAGGGCTTAAAATTCAAGTCAAGAAGATCTGATTTCAAGCTGTTTTGTCAGCAAAATTTCAGTTTTGAAACCCTGTCAGTGCTCACTGGTATATTAGGTTTTTACACCTGTTTTAACTCAGAGACAGAAAGTCATGTCACAGAGGACTGTAGAGATGAATTAAAGGGTTAACCTCACAGACCGTGATGTGGTCCTTCGCGGCCGTAGTAAATACGACAGCTGTTCAGCTTTGTAGCACAGACCAGAAAGTGTTCATTATCAATAACACTTTGGTCTCTCTATAAAGCAGGGCATGGCGTGCGTTATTGTGTGTGTGTGTGTGTGTGTGTGTGTGTGTGTGTGTGTGTGTGTGTGTGTGTGTGTGTGTGTGTGTGTGTAAGAGTCTTTTTAATTTTTAATTCACAACAAAGTTTAGCCTGCGTGTCTCAAAGTTGCTCAGGAGAAGTCAATTTCGATCTCAACACTAACTCAAGTTTATACATCCTATCCAAAGTTTTTCAAGCGTTGCAATTCAAAGCCCAATCTCTTTCTTTTTACCTCAACATCTCCCCGGAGATAAAACCAAGCTTGATTTGTATTTATTTTTAAAGTCCACAGAGACAAACAATAAGTAAGCTGGAGAGAGGAGGAAAAAAGACGAGTAGAGTTGTTTGGGGGCATAACTCGCTCTCCCTAAGTGTAAAATGGGATGGGATATTCTGCCTCTCGGACTTAACGTAATGTAAGAGAGTGTGAAATTAAACCGCACATGAATAAAGGGGCCCTTCATTGTGTGCCGCCGACTAGCTTATCTGGAAATTCAGACAACTGGAACATCCAAAGCCTCCAAACTTGTAGCAATCCCCTTTGTGTGGCTCCAGAGCAAACAATGTAATATCAGAAAGCCGGAGAGGCTCCAAATCCTGTGTCAGATTGCCAAACACAAAGTAGCTGCTTCCACAACATTGCCTCACTGCGTCCTCACATCCCCGCCTGAGTGTTTGCGCGTGTGTGCTTAAGAGTGCATGTGTCCGTCTTTATACAATATAAGTAGAGAGTGCACTCACTCCCTCTAACCCCATGTGTATGCCAGTGAGTGCTTCAAATAGATTGTTTCCTCTTTAATTCCTGGCCTTTTACCTATTGATATTCCTTGCACCTATCCCCACGCTGCTTTTAAAACCCATATGTTAATTTGATTTAGAGCGTCTCAAATTGAATAAGAGATAAAGAGAAAAAAAAAAGAGAAAAAAGAAAAAGAGGATAAGAGCAAATGTACTGTTATTAATAATCTAAAGTACCACAGAGGGCTCAAACTGTCTGCTTTCATTCGGCCCCTCCCTCTCCCTTCTCTTCCTCCCTCTGCGTTTTGTTTTGTCCTCTCTGTCTGTCTGTCTGTGAGAGAGTGAGTGAGCTAAGTGAAGTGGGTTATGATGGCTTCGTAATCGGCATCCCTCAAAGAAACGGCTGGTGCTATTAAGGGCCATTGTGTTTGCTGCAGTGATGATCAGATTCAATCTAGGGAGAACATTCAGTGCTGGAGCTGTTGCAGGGGGGGAGATAGAGAAAAATACCTTCCCTCGTTCCGCCCGGCTATTGTGTTTGGGGGACTAGATGTATGCACGCTCTTCAAAAGATGCATATCGACTCAGGGAGCTGCAAAAGTTTAGTTCAGATGAATGTGTGCAAGCTGTATGGCTGCACAAAGTGAGGTGAGTATTAAGTGTTGGGTAATGTTTTCAGGATATATTTGTTTCAATAAGAAGCTCGGCCGTGCTGCTGGGGCGCTGCAGATGAGACAATCCCTTTTTCTCTTCTCTTTGTCCTCAACTTTACCCTATTTTTTCAGTCTCTGTTTCTTTATCCAATCTGTATTGTAGCTAGCAAACTTTGATCGAGACCAGAGAAAGTCTGGAGGACAGAGAAGTTCACTTGTGGCCTGAAAGATTGAAGTTCAAACCGAGGTTACAGAACAATATACCAGCCAGAATATCAATCAGTCATTTGTTGCTCTGTGAATATGACAGGGGCAGTGAAAAAGCCTGAGACGGCCTAATAACAAGATTAGCATTCATCACATGTTGCATTTTTAGGTGAATCCACACTTGACTCATTTGATGAATAAGGGACGCAGAGTAATCTTTTAGTTTGACATTTTTGTTCCATATTGTGGGTGATCTAGATACCAGACATCTCTGAACCATTAATGGTGGCAGCAGGAGAACAATGGTTATGTTTGGCGTTTAGACTCTGACCACATCACTCCTCACAATTTTACTTCTGCATGCATAAACGGAGGAATGATGAGATTTAATAGCCGAAAATGTGAGCGCAGCAGGTAGAAATGGGAGTGGAGGCACATGGAAAAGTAAAGAAAGAGACCGAAAATCATGTCACATGTGAAATCAGTGCAGCGTGAGTAGTCTGTCTGAACCATAGACTGTATATAGAATAGACACCATCTGCCTCCTCACTGGGTGAAGTTACTGCGAGAACAGCACCCTCTGGTGACGGGCTGCAGTATAGATCATAAATCCCGCCTCCTCAAGCAATCCCTATGGAGTTGTGGACAAACTTTAGAAATTTATCCCCCTTGAATGCGATGTTGACATGTAGTTATTGTAAGACTAGTTTGTGCTCAAGTCCTCTTTTTTTCTGTACAGCTCCATTTTTAAAAGTTATTAGGGGGTTCATGTTTTCTATGATTGACACTTGATACAGCCTATGGGCGTACGAAAATTGCGTAGCTTACCCGGGGATAAACCGTTTGAGCCGAGCGTCATCACAGAGACTCTCAGTGACTCTCCCGCTGAATGTGTACAATGCTGCTGCGCAATATTGGTTCCAGGAAGTGAAGAAACAAACCCTGGAAATACTTAGAGCTTTTTTGCTTCAAATCTGTGTAATGGCGGAAGGCGAAACCAAGTTGTCCATAGTATACACAGTCTATGGTCTGAACTAGCTCACAGGTTATGATTTATTTATTGATAATTCTTCTTAACTTTTTTTTTTTTTTTTTTTTTTTTTTAAACCAATTCAGTATATTCCCCCTAAGGGAAAGGAGCGGAAGAAAAGTGTTTCTCAGGATTTTGCAAAAGTATTTTAGGGTCTCATAACAGTTACATGTCCCTTCAGAGGCACCGTACGCAATGAAGTTATACACTTTAATCAACCTGTGCTTTTACAGGCACACAAAGTTAAAGCCTGATCCAGCAATTCAAACTGTCCTTGTCCCAGTATACAGTCAACGGGGGATGTGGCGATCTGTTACAATATACAAGCAGAATCTTGAAGCCTTTTGGTGGTCACCACACTGGAAATGCTGACTCGACCAAACTTTATCCTCCTCACAGATACTTATGATGTATCCGTCTGCCAGGCCTCTGATTCACTAATCTTATAACCTCAATATCTTCCAAATGAATGCCTTACAAAAAATTCACATCCCACACACTGGCGTGGTTTGAGACCTGACTTGAGCTTGCCTCTTACCAGACTGTAAACATGTTATTATTATTATTGTCCTGTAAAGATGGGCTTTTGGGGCTCATAGTATAAAAACATGGTGGTGCAAGGTGGCGGTTTCTGTGGAAGAGCTCCTCTGTTGTTCTTTGATGTTTAAATGATTATTATCTTATTTAGAAATATTTATGAATATTCTATTTACTATTTCCATCATGTCTGTTATGATAAGTGCTACTGACAACGACACAATGTACATTAAAAATGCATAAAAGCGGCCTTTAGTTGGACACAATTGTTAACAGTGCCATTTATTTTTTTATTTCAATAGTGTGTAGGCAAGAACACACAGTCTACTTTTTAAAGTCACGATGAAAGTTTCTCTAACAGATAGCATGTACTACCAAATATAGTAGCCGAATGATACAGATCAGATTATTACCAGTGCCCCTAACTTTAGCACGTAGCTGCTGATCTATTTATTTATTCATTTATTTTTATTTGGATCAGTGCATTGATATTAGGGTGCAAAATACTGTATATCCTTCATTACTAAGGACAAAATATCAATATAATCAAATAACAGTAAGTCCTTGCGGCACACCTTCAAGTCTTTATAGCAGTGTTGTTTTCGTCAGGCAGGACGAAAACTTAAATGACGACGTCAGACCCCTTTTTTCCTTGACAAAAATGAGACTAAGACGAACGTCACCAAAGCTCTGTAAAGAATAAATGTGACGAAAATTATATTCATATTCGTCAGACGAGAACGAGACGAGACTAAATTGTTATTAGGTGGACGAACAAAGTTTCAAAACATGCTTTTTTTTGTCCTTACAGTCACGCCCCCATCACACACGCACCAAAAGCCTCGCTCGCGCACAGCTGCGCGCACACACTCATACACATACACAGAGCGGCAGGTGGACGAGGCGCGCGCAAACACACACCGTGGCGGCAGGCACAGCAGCGGTGCCCGGTGGCCGAAAAAAGAGGGATGATTTTTGGTCCTACTTCAGATACAGTCCAAGTGACAATAAAACACAATGTCTTGTACGGGAATGGGGAGACGAGACAGACGACAGTTGTGGAGCCACAGCTTCCTCATGCTGGGGCTTCAAACTGTCGGGAAAGAACACCACGAACCTCAAAAGACACCTTTTCGTTGACTAAAACTAGACTAAAACCTTTTGAGTTTTCGTCGGACTAAAACTAGATGAAAACTATCAAGGATAGAAATGACTAAAATGGGACTAAAACAAAGAAGCATTTCGTCAAAATGACTAAGACTAAAACTAAATCTAAAATGCCTTCCAAAAACAACACTGCTTTACAGAAAAGATTAATGTATTTCTTCTATGTTCTTTTCCACTTTCAGGCCAGAGACCGTTCAAGTGCAGTTACTGCCCCTACAGTGCCTCCCAGAAAGGGAACCTGAAGACTCATGTGCTGTGTGTGCACCGCATGCCCTTCGACAACACCCAGTATCCTGACCGACGCTTCAAACGCTCCCGCTACGAGTCGGACATCCAGGAGAAGAACCCTGAAGACGGTGTTTTCTCTAATCCAGCCACCACAGCAGATGGAAGCCACGGCTGTAACAGTACAGCGTTTACAGGAGAGGAAACACCTCAAAACCAGGACTGAAGCTGCACAAACTTTGGTGCAGGTCTGGGTCTGCTGTAGTGTGCATCGTGTGAAGGGCCACATATTTATACCACCAGACAGACACACCCTGATGCATACAAACACAACAATGACTGCTGAAGACCTGAGAAAACAACGGCAAGACAATGAGATAGACAGGAATGTCAAAGAGCAGCTTGTCAATAAACCACACTTCCTACTTTATAAACAAGTAAACGTGTCATTAGAAGTCTGTGAAAACTTACTAAGAGAATATTATAATCTATGTATCTGTGATGAGGTGAGTCAGCAGTTTTTGTTTTTAACTGAACACAGTGTGTAAAAATGAAGAGGAGTTAGAAGTAAATTAGAAATCATGCTTTTCAGACAGACCAAGGAGGAAAGAGGAGATCAACAAAGAGGGAGGCCAGATGATCAAACTCGTATAGTTATTACTATTTTTTTTAATGAGAAGAATCTGTAATAATCAAACTGAAAAGCTGCTGAAAAACAGAGGAGGAACATCATCCCCCAAAACACAGAGACCTCCTGACAACAAAACACCAGTGACTGCCATTTTACCAGCACTAACCATGAGTGCTGAATGTGTGTATCTGTTGTGGCAGTGTTCTGTGTGTGTGTGTGTGTGTGTGTGTGTGTGTGTGTGTGTGTGTGTGTGTGTGTGTGTGTGTGTGTGTGTGTGTGTGTGTCAGAGAGGTTTGGTGCCAGCCTGACTGGAGCTGTCATCGCAGAGAAAATCAATTCAACAACACACACACATTCACACAGAGTCCTGCAATGGTAAGCTGACCCTTTAAGGGGGTAAAGTTGAGTCCCATCAGCTGGCCAGAGCCCCCAAAGTCACCTCCTTCTCTCCTCCATACTCCCCTCCACCCTCACACGCTTTGATGCATTAGAATGGCCTGAATTGTGCAACACAAATCAATCGGTGTATTTAAAGCATCCATTAGCCGTCAGTAAGGCTTGTTCTGCTCTGGTTTTGGTAATTCTGTGTCTGGGGGTCACCTTGCCGGCTTCACGTCAGAGGATTATGAACAGAGTAAGTGTGTGTGTTTTAATTTGGGATGTTTTATGATGTTTCATGACAGATTGTTACTTTGGTATGAACCATACCCAGGCTGTGTGAGACCCTCTGGTGAGTGCCAGAAGGAAAGATGAACAGAAGTGACAAAGCCTGAGAAATGAATGAAATGAAATAATCATCTGTTTTTCCCTGATCCATCCTAATTTTACTGCCCTAGCTAAAAGACATATTTAAGTAATGAATCTTCAGAGGTGATGCTCTCTTTCTGATAATTTGTGGTGCTTATAATTTATTTGTAGGAGGTTAAGTCTTGAGGTGGAGAAGTAACATGAAACCTTGAAAACAGAATGTTGTGATGTTGTAAAAATCATGCCAGGTTATTGAAAGGATGAAAAATATGTGTCTTTTGTACTGCCAGCAGCTCAGGTTACACTGATGCTGGAGGAGATTTAAAGAGTGTCTTTGTGCTATGTTGTTGTTGGTGGTTGTGGATGGAGGGCTGACGGTGATTGTTAATAATGCTTTCCTTTAAAAAAGAAACTATCTAGGGTCTCTTAACAAATAACGCAGCAGAGGGCATAAAAATGCTGAGCAGACTCTGACTCGTGTATACCTATATTTTTAAGGAATGAGAATGTTTTCAGAGAAGGGAAAGTGAAAATTAGAGTACATTTTGATGCCTTTACATGCATTATCTTAATCACTAAAATCGACTGAAATGAGCTGTTTCCAATTTCATGACAACATGAATCAGTATCTTTTAGTCCACCTAACTGACAGAATATATGTATAAGCCTTATGAAGGTGGATTGTGAGTTATAAAGGGAACAATAACTAAAAGTACGCTTGTGTTTGTTTTTATCTACCTTTTTTTTTGTTTGTTTGTTTGTTTGGCACATGCTTTTTGGGGTTTTACATACGTATGATATATATATATGCAGTATTTCAGAGATAAGACTCAGTATTTTAAAAGTCATCTCAGCACATGCAGGGGTGGAAAGTTTCCACTTCTGTCAAATCAAGTTTCTATATTTGAGTATCTGTTAAGTAAACTTGTACTTGTTCAAGTGGGTTTTAAAACTCAAGAACTGTATTTTATTGTACTTTGCCACATTTTACTTTTTTATTCACTACTGAGTAAAACAAAGTGAAATGTCAAAACAAAACAAGCTTTCATACACGGCTGGTGACTGGCTGAAGTCTAGCGTCTGCTGCCAGGTGAACTGACGTGAAGCTACAGCTGAAGTCCCACCAAAACGACTTTTATACAGTTAGACAAACATTCACAGATTTGTCTTTTTAAAACTGACATCACTCTCTGACCGTGGTCACTAGTTTTTCTCTGACATCATTAAATTCACCGCCGGGTAGTTTTACTTCCATGAACAATGATGGGGAATTAACCCCTTCAAACCCAGGGCCACAGTTCTACCTAAAGGAGTTTACAGTCTGATAAATTACACCCAAATCTCATTTAAAAACACACACCAGTAGGGTGAGAATTGCATCCCTGTGCACGCATGGAGAGATGTGAAGGAAAGTAAAGAAGGAAAGAGGAAGTGCAGAGGGAAGAAAGAGTACGTCTTATCGAGTCAGCTCAGTTTCTGGAAGGTTGTTTCTAAAGTTTTGAGGAAAGTTTTAGGGAAACTACAGTAAACTACTGTATTTGCATTAGATCAGTAAATCTTTGTATTTTGTTCTAATCCGCAGATTGAGAAGTCTGTTCTTTTTGTTCCTTCCCACAGATTTTGGAAGAAGTTTAAAAAGTCTTTTCCGCTGAGATTAATATGATATAATGTCATATAAACTTTAGGTTTCAATGCACTACTGTGTTCTCTGTGGCTGTAGCTCGCTCTTCTGAATGTGTATATCCATGCTGAACATTAATTATTATCTGCAGAGTCAATGAGGGGAAAAAAGTTTGTAAAAGTACACATTCCTTTTTGGCACCATGACCCTGGTTTATGTAGGTAAAGCATGTGAATCAGTACAGTTTCATCATCTTATTCATACGAGGCAATCATTTTTCTTTTTTTGTTTCTACACTGAAGAATGGCATTTGTTGTGATTTCTCTGTGACTTATACTCTTTGTCCATCCCTGAGAATGATACGCTTTTCTCCCCCCTGCTGTAATCCCAAAATAATCCATTCCATTGTCCCCACGCTGTTTGATCTCTGTCAAGCCTCCTATTGAAGTAGCACATGCAGTTTGCTCAATTATAATCACTGGTGCTAGGAAAAAAAAAGAAAAATATATAACTGAAACCTTTCCCATTTCTCCAGCCTGCAACGGATTCTGTAGTTTGTAATCCTCGTAAAATGACTGTCCACATTCCTAACTGGAGATTTGTAACCTATTGAAGGAGTGAGCTGAGGGGTTTTGTTTCAAACTATAATCTTATATTATAACAGTAGATAACTTTGTATGTAAAAGAGAAATGTCTTTGGTCATTATTTATTACTGCTCATCTGTTTGACAGAAAATCTTTCATTAAAGAGGTGTATCAAACATGGACTGTTTACTTCTGTCTAGACGTTCTTGTGTACTTTAAAGAGGTTAAATATATCCAGTGATTTTTCTCTTCAATAAACGCTTTACCTGCGGGAATCTCTGTCTTTGTGCCTGGATCACTTCACACACTTAGGTCAGTCACTCCTCTGAAGATGAACAATGACAGTGACGCTATTGTCATTGAAATGTTTTTAAAAGCAGAGTGATCGTTCTTGCTTTAGCACCTGAAAACAAACACAGTTTACTGGAGTTGAAAGGAAAAACAAGTTTCAGACAGTTGTTTACACGCTGAGTCTTTTTAACCATCACTTACGTCTGGACCTTAAATCACGAGAGCCGTTCAAATAAAGCGTCCCAACAGGAACATAAAAAAGCGACCTCTGGGATCCAAACTCTGAGAAACGGAGGGGTTGAGGAGGCTAAAAACAATTTGACAGCCGTGCTACCAGCTCCTTGGGGTGCCATGGTAATACAGAGGTGCTTTGTGCTGAATACATGCACATTGACAAATCTATACATGCTGATGTTAAGCAAATAAAACATTTTTTAAAATATAAGTTTGGCCTAAAATGCAAGATATATTGACGGGAGTGGTGAACAGTAGCAAAGTTAGAGAATGACCTGAAGAAGTGTCACGTTTAGCTTGAAGCAATAAAGAAGTTTCTGGCTTAGGCGCGGTAAACATACCTGTCCAGATGACAGATTAGTACAGATGGTTATGGTTCGAACTGAGTCACCTGAGTCATGCCACCTGAGTCACTGTCAGGCAGGACTTTTCAAGTTCACAATAAACAATAAAATGACAATAAACATTACAGACCCATACTGTGTTAACATACTATCCAAGACTGGTTCAAGACTCCGGACCCTGATTAATCCATCAGCAAGGCATGGTCTACTAACATAAACTCTAAATTCCAATTGAATTGTAGTGTATTTAACTGTATTTAGCTTGTTTAGTGGTGCACAAGATGTAAGAAGAAGAACAAAAAGAAGAACTTTATTGATCCCTGAAGGTAAATTCAATTGTCTGTAGTCTCATGTGTCATGTCCCAAGTCATGTCTTTTAAGGCCCAAAAATCAAACTACTGTACAGAGTCAGCAACAACACTGACATTGTCTGTATTCCTAATGCCTGTAACCACTGCAAGGGGGTTGTATCTGTCAGCAGGGAACAGTGTTAATAATAACAACTGCAGGTTCAGACCCACTCGCCAGTGCAAATGAAAATGAGCTGTCTGGTGGACATCAGTGTAGCTTGAAGACACCACCCAGTTTGACCCAGGGTTCAAACTATCCTTCATATTACTGAAGTAAGAAACTATAAAGAGCCATTCAACCCAGGCCTTATTCTGATAACCTGCATCATTTTGGTCACCTTTTTACCAGAACCAACAAGATCCTGCCTGAGCAGCTGCGAAACATGTAGACATTTTGTCCAGAGTTATTACAAATACAAAGTC